ATTTGGCAAATGAATGCATTTCATTTTGCAGAGTTTGGAAAAATAAAATTTGTACAACATACAATAGATACATATTCAGGATTTCAGTGAACAACTGCTTTGAGTTTTCAAAAGGCTGATTCTCTAATTACACATTTTTCAGAAGTTATGGCCATTGTGTGGATACCTGTACAAATTAAGACTAACAATGCTCCAGCATATATCTCTAGAAAATTAAACAGGTTTTTTTTGCATATTACAACATAAAGCATATTACAAGTATTCCACACAATTCTACAGGGCAAGCAGTTATAGAAAGATATAACTGAACTCTAAAACATATGCTTAATAAACAAAAATGGGTAATAAAGAACCCAGAGATAGATTGAACAATGCTTTATTAAATTTAAATTTTCTAAATACTAATTAGAAAGGAAATACAGCTGCAGAGAGATATTGGATAACAGAAAAAAACTGCTGAATTAAATCAGCCTGTATACTTTAAGAATGTGCTGACCTCAGAATGGAAACCAGAATATTGTGTTACATTGAGGAAGAGGTTTTGCTTTTGTTTTTTCAGGAGAAAAGAAGCTATAGATACCATCAAAATTGATAAAAATTAGATTCGAACAAGAGAGATCTCTTGATTAAAAGAGGTGATACTTCATCAAACAGCGTGGCCATTCAATCTAAACTAACTTATAAGACTAACAGATGCTTTTCATTTGATCAGATATAACTTGCCCAAAGAGAACCTCCTCAAAGTTAAGGTTGAGGCAGGGTTTTGTTTTTTGTCTTTCTAGGAGAATGAAGAAATCCAGCTAAGGAATCTGAAGACACTGGACAAATGAGACATCTGAAGAAAAAGGACAAATCATCCAGAGAAAATGTCCCAAGATAAAGAGTAAATTAGCCTATTGGTATAATATCACATTTCTAGCAGGATAAAATTTCATAAATCTTCCCAAATGTTTGTTTTTGCTGTTCTCTACAGACACATAATACAAATGGTCTTTCTGTAGTTCCAGATCAATTAGAAATTAAAGCTGGCTTTAAAGTTGGAGCATGACTCTCTTCTTCTCTAATCCAAGCATGCTTGTTAAAGGAAAATCCAAAATCTGTCTCATGTCAGAAGAGCCACCTAATATGATGGGACAGAAGAAAAACCAAAATTAAGGGACTATTCTATTGCCACTAATCTCATAATTATTTGGTTCTATTTTGACTCCTTGAAACTTTTCTTAAGATATAAATATTATCTAAAAATTTATTTTATATATATAAATTTATTTTATAACTTTTTGTCATGATATTAATGGTCATATAGAGTACTAACTGATTCTATAAAAAGGCTCCATCTAGCTTCCTGTACATGATTTGGGGTTTCAGTCTCTATCAAGTAACTAGGAATTAAGTTTTTGTATTCTGGATGTACATAGCAAATTATCATCCTTTAACCTCTTCGAGATCTGCTGCATATGGCATTTAAAATGTTTAAGTTTTCTGCAATGAACCATGACTATGCCTAACAGTGACCTTTGAAGTCCCAAAAGGAGGATGGGGCCCCACAAGGACGATTCCACCTGGATTGTGGTAATACCACTAAGCTGACAAACACCACCCAAAGATCAGATTTGGACAACAAACAATTCAGGTTAATTTCAAGGTGGCTAGCTGAGGTGGTCCAGCCTCACATACTACTCTAGCCAGGATTTGAGATAAGCCCTGCACTTTCCTATTACACAGAGACTGGACACCAAATAATAAAGCTAGCACTCCTACTACTTTACAATTATCCCAAAATTTTTCAGAGTCCCCTAAAGATGCCATTGCCTGCAGACAACAGGAAGTAATTTTTTTTTTTTTTGGTTTTTCCGAGACAGGGTTTCTCTGTGTAGCTTTGCGCCTTTCCTGGAGCTCACTTGGTAGCCCAGGCTGGCCTCGAACTCAGAGAGATCCGCCTGGCTCTGCCTCCCGAGTGCTGGGATTAAAGGCGTGCGCCACCAACGCCCGGCAACAGGAAGTAATTTTAAGAATGCAACACCCACATTCCCAGGAGGTTGAGGTGGGTGGTTTTTGGTCCTTCAATGGGTTATGGACATTTGTCATTGTTTAGGGGGTTGGTTACAAGTTGTTATTGGTAATGGACAGGAAAAAAGCTGAACAAAGGAGATTAGATTCAGAGATCTTGTTCTGAAAAGAAAAAAGGGGGATATAGGAATGACAGGATAAAAGGATAAATTATCGAATCTACTTTTAAACCAAAAAAGCAACTGCTATTTTTAAATATTTTATATTGATATGGATTTTTGTATATTTATACAAATTTGAGGTTATTTTGTTATAATATATATACATATATATATGTTTCTACTTTTTTAAAGATATTTTTGTGTATTGATACAAATTTAATGTTATTTTTGTTAGAACCTACTGTACATATATTTCTGCTCTTGTTCAAGATATTATACCTATACAGCTCATTTAACAACATAGTGTAAATTTCTAGTCCTTGAAAGTTATTATTACAAACTATTTAGGATAACAGATAAAGAAATGCAGGTTAATAGTCAGCTGTCACAACCAAACTTATAGTCATGTTAGGTATGTTATCAAGGTCAAACAGATGTATTTTAGATAGATGGTCTTCAAACACTTCAGAGATCTACAGAATATGCATTTAAGATGTTTTAAGAACATAAGGTTTTTATGACAATGAGACATATCTGTTCCTGGCAGCACCAATCTATTTCAGAGATGATGATGGGCATCAAAAAAACTCCATATAGAGTTTACTTTCTTTATGGCAAAAGTTATCCACTAGGCAAGAAACTGCCCTTCTCTCAATTGCTGACAGTGTGCTGTCCAAATTGGACAAGGAGGACACAAAAGAAAGTGACTGCCAAATTTTGCCAACACAAGGTAGGATAGTCCTTCAAAAATCCTGCCTCACAGAAAAGTCTGTCAGATGTTCTAGGCCTGCAGACCAAAGATGGATGTCCCAACATTATGGAGGAACCTTGGGTGACTGTTCAGGCAGCCAGCTCTTTCTGTCATTTCTTAGTTTTGGAAGTTGTTTTCTCTGTATATCCTGTTTATTCAGGTAATATTATATCCTTCTCAGGTCTCTGATGAAGTTGAAGACTAGATATCTATAGTTATAGTTTTCCTTGTTACCAAATTCAGAAAAGAAACGCACAAAAGAGGTGTAAAGTGTATAAGGTTGAGAGACATAAAAAGATAGTTTTGCATTGGTAATGCAAGTTAGGATAGAAAGTGAATTAGGTACAAAACTTTGAAGTCACCAAGATAGGATAGATAATGGAATACTTTCTCTGACATTGCCAAATGCAAATGGGCTGGACATTGTTAATGTAATTCTTATCTGTATATATTTGTATATAGTCACTGTACTTTTGTATATAGTTTTACTATGATAGTTAGAACCTTCACTTATTATTTTGACAAAAAGGGGGAAATGTAATGTGATGTTTTGATTGTGTTCTGAAAAATAAAGCTTGCTTGGAGTCATAGGGCAGAGTTAACCACAAGCTGAAAATTAACCCATAGAGGTTTGGAGGACTGTAGACAGATAGGAGACAAGAAGTAGTAACAATGAAGGAATGGAAGAGGCAAGAAGTCACTGATGGCTGCTCTGCTTCTCTGATCTTCCAGGTTTTTACCCCAATATCTAACCCTTGATTTTTTATTGATAAAGAATAATTAGTTAAGGCTTCAGATGGCAGTACTTAGACATTCCTGGATGTTTTGAATTTTTACCAAAATAATTTTGTATTTAGATAGCTAATAGGCATCTTTTAGAAATGTTTGGAATTGTTTTTTTTTTTTACCTAGTATCTAACATTTTTATTTTGTCTTATCTTGTTTTTCAAGACAGGGCTTATTTGTGTAGCCCTGGCTGTCCTAGAACAATCTTTGTAGATGAGGCTGGCCTCAAACTCACAGAGATATGTTGTTGGTTATTTTTTTACTGTTGTGGGGGACCTATCACCCAGCTCCCAAATAAATTCACACACAGAGGCTTAATATTACTTATGAATGCCCGGCCTTAGCTTGGCTTAGTTTCTAGCCAGCTTTTCTTAACTTAAATTATCCCATCTACCTTTTGCCTCTGGGCATTTCCCATTCTCTTCTGTAAATTTTACTCTTATTCCATGGCTTGCTGTGTAGCTGGGTGGCTGGGCCCTGGAGTCCTTCTCCTTCTCTGGCTCCTAGATCTTCACTCCTCCATCTCTTCTCTTCTTCTCCTCCCAAAGTTCTCCTATATATTCTCTCTGCCTGCCAGCTCCCCCTCCTGCCTTGCTATTGGCCATTTGGTTCTTTATTAGACCAGTCGGGTGTTTTAGACAGGCAAAGTAACACAGGTTCACAGAGCTAAACAAATGCAACATAAACAAAAGTAACATACTTTAAAATAATATTCTACAACAGAGATTCACCTGCCTCTGCCTCCCAAGTGCTGGGATTAAAGGCATGCACCACCATTGCCAGGCTAGTGTCTAATATTTTTATCATTAATAGAGGGTTCATCAGATGGTTTTGTGGTACATTTCAAAACAGTTTATTTAATCTTCTGATAACATTTGCATGATCCAGATTTCCAGGTAAGATGGCAAGCTAGAAGGTGTTTCTGTGTGAGCTGGTGGAAGAGAAAGTTATATTCTTACTATTCATACTGTGCTTAGAAGAGTAAAATGCACTTTACTTCAAAGAAAGAAACAGAATAAAGGCTTTAGATACCCATGAATTAGCGGGAAAGTATCAGAAAAAAATCAGAAACAACTACTCTTGACAAAGAAACAGGCCAAGCACAACCTTGCCCGTGCAGTTATGTGGCTGGCAGGAAGATAGAGAAGCCACTTCCAGAAGGTAAGCCAAGTTAATGCTTAGAAGTCTTGCCTCAGGACAAGCACACAATTTTTTTTATTAAAATGTTTTATTTATTTTAGATGCCAACCACAGTTTCCCCTCCCTCCTCTCCTCCGCCTCATCTCCTTTCTACCCACCCCTCATCCACTCCCTAGAAAGGGAAAGACCTCCCATGGAAGTCAACAAATCATGTCATATCAAGTTTAAGCAGGACCAAGCTCCGCCCCCCTGCATCAAGGCTGAGCAAGGCATCCCATCATAGGGAATAGGTTCCAAAAAGCCATCTCATGTGCCAGGGACAGATCCTGGTCCCACTGCTAAAAGCCCCACAAACAAACCAAGCTACACAACTGTTACCCACATGCATAGGGCCTATTTTGGTTCCTAGTTTGGTTCCCTAGCTGTCAGTCTAGAGTCTGTGAGCTCCCACGAGCTGGGGTCAGCTGTCTCTGCAAGCAGTTTTCAAAACCCATAAACCCCATTGTAAGTTCTTGTGGTTCCTCTAGAGGACAGGTCAGCAGTAGAGAGAAATCCTATTTTGTCACACTGTATGACTCAAAGGGCAATGTATGGTACCACCTAGACAGACAATCTATTATTAAAAACTGAGGTACTCTGGAGCCTGAGATGAGGGAACATACAGAGCACTGGGAGCTTCAGTTTGGCCAACCAAAGCCCCTGACTGAGGGGATAATCAGAGAGGCAGTTACGGAGATCAGAGGGTCTGGACACTGACAAGTTGAAGAGTGAAATCCACAGGAAGCTGGCTTTTGCTGAAAAAAAGCATAAGTAGAGATGGTCTTAACATTTGTGGTTAGTATTTGATCCACCTATTAGTCTCCTAGAGCTATCAAACTCCAACTTAATTCTCAGTTAATATCCACAGGCCAATCTGATAGAGGCTCCTTCCCAGGTGAATCTAGTTTGTGTCAAGTTGGCAAAAATTAACGAATACAGTACATGAAACTCAGTATGTATTTTATAAACACGTGGATAAGATTGTTATAGATAGCCTTCACAGCAAAGGCTGTTTTTCATTTTATTTTATTCTAACCTAAGTGATCAGTTTTTTTTTTAAAAAAAAAATGTTTTTAGATTTATGTGTGTGAGTGTTTTGCCCTCATGTATTTCTACACATATGCACCATGGGCTTGCCTGATGCCCACAGAGTTCAGAATAGAATGTTAGATGCTTCAGAACTGAATTTATTGGATGGTTGAAAGGCACCATGTCAGTTCTGGGAATAGATCGCTGCCTCACTGCAAGAACAAGTGCTTTGGACCACTGAGCAAGCTGTCTCGCCAGCCCAAAACACATGACTTTTTATCTAGTGGAAAGGGTTAGTTTGGGTAAGGGCTTGTCTATCTGGTTGATTTTCTCAAAGAACCAACTCTTTGTTTCATTAATTTTTTGTATTGTTCTCTTTGTTTCTATTTTATTGATTTCAGCTCTCAATTTGATTATTTCCTGGCATCTATTCTTCCTGGGTGACTTTGCTTCTTCTTGTTCTAGAGCTTTCAAGTGTGCTGTTAAGTTGTCTTCTAAGTATAGATGTTACCTTGTTTTAGCACATGATTTCTAAAATACTATGCTTATAGCATGCAGAAATTATAGCAAATAAATACTGACCATATGGATATATAAAAACTGTCTGAAGGAAAGAATTGACAATTGTCTGAAGATAGAAAATGAAATCAACAGGAATAAAATTGCAATATTGGCAATATAATGGACTTCTGAATTTTTTGGAGCCAAAATTCTTGGTGAATTCATGATTTGTGTATCATATCAACAAGAGTATGTGGTATAGATACTACACACACACACACACACACATATACACACACACGTATTGTGTGTGTGTGTGTGTATATATATATATTCAATAAAACAAAACATGTATTGTGGAAATTACTTGTTAATATCCTCAGGTATGCAATTGACAAAAGAAGTTAATAACTTAAACACATGGTACTTGTAAAACACCTTCAATTGGAACAAGAACAGGACATTGATGCTCATACAAACTATTTTTTAAAGGGTGGAAATTTTTCCTTTTTATTTATGATCCACTATCTTTCTTTCTTACAGCCCTCCCACTGCCTTTGGGAACTTCTCAATACAATCTCCTCCTATTTCCATGCCTTTTTAAAGGTTTTTTTTTATTTTTAGGGATTTTAATATAATTACATAATATCTTTAAAATATAGCTCAGTTCATAAGCTGCTTGCATGCGTGTGGGTATGTAGCTGTTTTCTAGATCATGTGCACCTTTACTACTGGAAAGAATGACTCCCTCTGCCCCAACTCTCATTAATTACCAGTAACTCCTCAGCTACAGATAGGACTCCATGTATTCTTCACCCATCCAAGCTGTAACATGGAGAGTCTCTATCATGTGCAGGCTTCATACAGGCAAGCACTCTAAAGTCTAGAATGTAGAGTCTATGACATGCCATCTATGGGCTTTTTCTACTATGATGGGAATGTCGTTCTGTATGCTTTGAGTGTGTGTTGCTCTGATTTGGTTGATAAATAAAACGCTGATTGGCCAGTAACTAGGCAGGAAGAATAGTATAGGTGGGACAAGCAGAGAGGAGAATTCTAGGAACAGGAAGGCTGAGTCAGGAGAGCTGCCAGACACAGTGGAAGCAAGATGTGAAGACAGAACTGAGAAAAGGTCCAAGCCATGTGTCTAAACATTAATAAGAATTATGGGTTAGTTTAAATGTAAGAGCTAGTCAGTGGTAGGCCTGAGCTAATGGCCAAGCAGTTTTAATTAATATAATCTTCTGAGTGATTATTTTATAAGCAGCTATGTGGTCTGTGGGGATGGGCAGGACCAGAGAAAACTTCAGCTACACTACTATGAAGTATAACTTTCTATCAGCATACATTCATTACAAAATGGTAGGTTTTATTACAACATTCTGTACATCTACACAATGTACTTTGCTCTTATTCACCTCCACCATCCTCTCTTCCTCTTCCTTTCCTCTTCCTTTCCTCTTCCTGCTGGTCCTCTGTGCACATAGTACCACATCTACTTCTATGCGTGTATAGATGCTCACATGCTTCCATACACGTTTTTGAGATTTGAGATCTATATTTTTTCATATACCTATCCTAAGTAGTAAAGAAAGTGAGCTTTTAAATTCGTCCAAGTAACTAGAGATGTGACCTGTAGAAATACTTTATTTTATTATAAAATTGTTTGTGTTGCCTGTCACCTTAAAAGCTGCATGAAAGTGTCTACACAGCTTGAAAGCAGGTGACTCCATTTTCTGATCTTTACATATTCATGCTCCCAGTTCAGGAGTAACCACAAATGCATATGTATTATCTTATTTTTCCATTGTGCTCATTTCTATTTATGAATTTTATTGTTGGTCTTATACAATGACATTTTATTTGTTCTCCAGCTTCTTTTGGTCTTTCATTTCATTAAACTATTATAAGTACCTCTTTCAGAGGTATATTTACTTTGTCCACACATTAATCACATCCATCTGATTTCTCCAAATAGATATTCTTTGTCATTCCTGTAGTCTTCTGACTGGCATTGGAGAAATGATAGTTTCTAGTCCTATTACTCTGTGCAGCTAATGAGATCTTTTGCCTCAATTTTAGAAATTCCTTGCCGAGTTCGTCAATTTAATATACATTTCTATTTCTCCTACCATTATTGTCTTTAAAATGTATTTATTCTTGAGGTCCCAGCCCTCGCTGAGAAGCTATTGGCAATTTATGGGAGCTTAGGGTGGGGAAATGAGTATTCTTCAAGGATGAGGGGACTATTAGGTACCCAAGCACCAATAGGTGTTCCTACATCATGCACACATAAGCAGCACTAAAAGAACCCAGTGGGTTTTTTGCCAGAGAAAGACAGAGAGAGCATGAATATGAAGTTGGGAATAAAAAGTGTATGTACCAAATTATCAAACAATAAAAATGCATTCATTCTACCATTTAAAGAGATTTTAGCTGACAAATTAAATAAAAAAGTATTGTTAGCCTAAGTCAAATACCTTCACTTAAATGTCAGAGCAAATATATGGTGAGGCTTTAGAATTGTCTTTGAATATATGAGAAAATAGATATTAAGCCAATAGTATATGTGCCAAGAGGCCCAATGAGCCAGTTTAGTTAAGCCAGGGTATGAAATTAGAACTGTTAGCCTCAAAATTTTTTCTTTCATTCAGGTACTGTATCAATAAATAGGTAGTTGATGTAGTTGCTACAGTTCTGAGGTACCTACACATGATGGCAAGTTGAGATTTTTTGAATGATTTGCTCTAGCTTGCCTTAGAAATTTTTTAAGGAATTCAAGTAATATTTATTAAGAGTCTTGTAGAAGAAACCAAAGATTATTGTGAATAATGTGCTTTCTTGGGGCATCACAGACACATAGTACATTTAAATAGTGATTTTCACTTGTGTTGATTACCTGTGTAAAACTGGACATCCAGTGATTTTTTTCACCTTCCTTCCATTTCATTTTCTTTATTTGAAATATGAATATGGTACTATTTAGTTGTGGATCATATACCCAAAAAGACTGATAGATATTGAACCTTTGACACTGACCAAAAGTTAAATGGGGTTCTTTCTTCATTCCAATATTTTATTAAATTAAAAGAACAACCCAGGATCTGGGTATCATCATCCCACAGTGCAGATGAGAACACTTGAGCTCAAAAAGGTGAAGTACGTCTTTCTCCAAGTCCTGTATACAGTCAACACTACAGTCTCATTTTGCAGGGAAGGTTGTAGGACTTTACATTTGTTCATTTGCTTTTTCTCCAGGGATTATTCTAACTCATGTTCGGATCTTGTTACCATGTGAGCATTTCCTTTGATCTAGCAGCCTTTTCCTGTTGGAATCCCCTGAGTTTACATCTCTTTGGTGTTTCAGGCCACTGGATTTAATTAAAGAGAACTGGGTTTCTCTTTGCTGGAAAACCTTCAGGAAAGGGACCTAATTTTAATGATTTGGAAAATGGAGAAATAAATGAATCTGAGCCTGTAGCTGAAATCATTAGCACAAAGTTCAGGTTGTAGTTAGGACCATAGATAGAAAAGAATAAATGTTCCATAACAGAACAAACTTATTGCAAAAAGAAAAGATCCTTCCTCCTATTTATATAAATGGAAAGCTCTGGGTTTAATAAAAAAAAAAGTGCCAAGATGGTTTTATTTCTTAATAATGTAGAAGCAACACTGACTCAGCTTTCTATAGCTAACAATTACACAAATGATTTTCAGGAGTTTTGATTCTTTTCCTTGCATTTGTTTTTTGGGATAATCTCTTTTCCTGGGAACATCCACATATGTACTAATAGATACACGGCCATTCCTATTGTTACTGTAGTGAGATATCAAGTCTTCATCTGTATGGTTTTTGCCTTAAGGAGTTGGGCAAATCATTAGAGGAGAAAACATTTTAACTTTTTACATAAAAAAAGAAGTGTAAAGGTTACTGCTATGGGATATCATGTGCCCCTGTAAAATCTCAATGTTACATGCTCATTTAGTATGGAGGATTAGAGCACAGGAGTGTTGCATGCCTTGAAAAAGTTTAAATAATTACTTCAAATCAGAGTTTGGATTGCAGACTTCTAGTCTAACACCCACTTGAATAATGTAAAATAACAAAAGTTTAGCAAACCTGGTTGTTTTCACTTTTTAAAAAGATGAACCCCGATGCTAAATGGTACTCTGAAGGAATACATCCTATTGTCCTGGGGTTGTGCAATAGTCCATCTAAGAACCTTTCACAAAGAGAGTCTCTTACTGACATGTGACAAAATATTCATCTTCCATTAATTCAGAATTCAGTAAAATTTGAATATTGTGTTATGGATGTTTGTTTATGATCAAACATGTTTGTTTTGAAGTTAAGACTTTGATCCAGGATTAACGAGCTGGTGGTTTAGCACATCTTAGCCATGGGACGTCAAGGAGGTGCAGAGAGCACAGTAATTACAAACATGTAATCGAATAGATTCAGCTGTGGTTAATACTTGATTGTGGCTGAAATGTGCTTTATGTGAGCTAAAGCATGATTCTACGCAACACATACTTAAAAGAAAAATCACAAAATGTTCAATTTCAGAGAGAGTTAGAAATTATTCCTTAGGACTGTTTCACCTTACAGAAGCAGAAACTGGGACACGGGAACAAAATTAGCTTACCCAAAGCCAACAAGCTGAGGAGAGAAAGAAATACAATTCAAGTTTGTCTTCTGGTGCCAACCATGCTAACCATGTGGGAATATTTAAGGAAGTTTTAATTTATTATTTTGTGTATGGAAATAAACACATGTAAGCAACAAACTGACTTAGATTCAAGCATTAATTTAGAGAAACTTTCTTCTGTGTATCTATTAACATCCCAGATGTCTCTCTGTGGTTTTCCATGTATCTATTCCCATCACAACCATTTTCTTGATGATCAAAAGGACAGACAAATAAAAGCATATGCACAAGGTAGACACAGCTTAGCCAGCAACACTCTTCTTGACTTCTCACAAATACTCAAGATTTTAAGCATCATTTTCATCAAAAGGAAAATAATGAAGCTGAGTTACCTCTTTAACGTATACGAAGAAGATGCCAGATGCAGCTTCATAGGCAATACAGTGTAAACTGGAGGCACTATACACTGAGCAAAGTCTCCTGTGAAAACAAAAGACAAAAAGCTTTATTTTGGACTCTGTTGACTAAAACAAGCATTTTTCCCATGTCAATTACAGTTTATAGATTAGAAATACCATGGTATCCATCAACATTGTTAAACATGGTATAAAAAGTAAACCTTAGATTCTGCCATTTCAGTTGTAAGGATTCTAATTTGAACTGAGTCTGATATACCTATATATCCAAAGTGTGGTTTCCACATTCAGAATTTCCAACTAGCCCTTGTGTACCACATCTCTCTCTCTCTCTCTCTCTCTCTCTCTCTCTCTCTCTCTCTCTCTCTCTCTCTCACACACACACACACACACACACACACACACACTCACACTCACACACACTCCACTTAGACTTATGGCAGAGGAGGCCTCAGCCCCTGCATCATTGCCCACCCAATTACTTGCTGAAATGAAATCATAATAGGTTAGCTAACAAGCTTTCAAAGCAAGCTTTATCATAATCTCATCTACATTTTGCTGTTATTTAACCATTTATCATAGTTGAACAACAATTTGCAAAGAAAAAGTAAAAAATGTAAAGAAAAAGAAGACCTGATGAGCTAGTAAGAAATAATTCTGTACAAGATATACTTATTTTAAAAAAAACAAAAGATTCTTCTTACAGATATGCGGTCTCCTCATATTTTTATAATTTCTAAAAATCTGTTGAACTTGTTTCTGCAGACTCCAATTAAAAATATGATGGCAGAAAATCAAACTACTGGAGTGCATTTTAGAACATTAGTTACCCAATAAAACACAAATATAATTTCTTCCTGAAGAGAACATTCCCCATTAACTTTTCAAATAAACAACCTCTTAAAAAATTACTCATTCTTCTCATTCTTGTGTTGTTCATATGTGTTCACACTACAGAGTTCCATAAAGTTTATCTCAAGCAACAGGGTGCTGAGAAAACTGCTTCACGTACAGTTGAGGCTTCTTCCCCTCACGTCAACTATTTATACTTGCAATAAACAAACACAGATGTGGGGTTTTGTTTGTTTCTCTTTTTCTGTATGCTAACTAAAAGCCTTGCCCTGTGAAAATGGGCATATGGTAAGGATTTTCAGTATGATTTGATTTGGAATATTCTAGAAATGATGCAATTGTTTAATGATTTCTGCATAACAAGTACAAAAATTTGGCTTGTGTAAATAATAAAGTTTTTACAAGTCCTCTAAACCTTGCTACAATTAGATAAGTTATTGTATTTATAGAGATTTGACAGAGTTAGCTAAAAGCCTGACAATATCTGGCCTCACTCAAGAACATTAATCAAATACAACTGACTGGGTAAGAATCTTAAACAGATGCGTCTGCTTTTGCTGGAATGTCGGCTAATACACTGGTGGGGCATGCGAGTATCGAGGTCATCATTTATAGTAATACCATGGAGGGTTTACTGTAAAAGCCTCTGTCAATTACAGGCTATAGTGCACTGTTCAAAGTGAAAATGTTTCACACTCAAGCTACTGCTTCCCACAAGTAGAAACTGAAGTCACTAGTACAGTCACATTTGTTTAATCCTGGATGAAGGCACCTGCCACTGAGCCCTGGTGTTGAGTCACATGCCATGAGGACATAAATGCACTGTTCTTGTCCTGTGTAGGCGATAGTCTTCATTGGTCTCAGTTGGCTTTGGGTCTATTGTAAAAGACATAAATATATTCTCATTCCCTTTGATGTTCTGTTTTCTGACAATACATTTAAAAACCCACTGCACCATTTTCTGGACTATAAAATACATCTCTTTTTGGTCTTTCCAATCATTTTGACATTGTGGAAAGATGTTGATGTTCCTCCCAATGTCTGTCTTGAACAGGTCATGTTCTCTGCTAGAACAGCTTGTGCTTGTTGCAGCAAAATATTTTTTAAATGAAAGCATTCTATACACATTCACACAGTATAATGGACAAAAAAGGGAAATGATATTAACTGATCACTACTGAATATTATCTGAATATTAAGATGAAGAAATTAAAAGTATGGTCTCTGTAATAAAATGCATGTTGGAATGTATCTTTGTTTTATTTTTTAGATGTATTACTTTATAAATTTATTTTTATTAATGTGAAACATACACAGACTCTCTCTCTCTCTCTCTCTCTCTCTCTCTCTCTCGTGTGTGTGTGTGTGTGTGTCTGTGCGTGTGTGCACACGCACACGCGTGCGCACTATGTCTGTGCCTAAAGAGTCCAGAGGAATTCATCTGGATCCACTCTAGCTGGAGTTAACTTGTGAGCCACAGTGTAAGTACTAAGAACCAAATTCTGGTGTTCCAGGGTAATAGCAAGCATTCTTAACCACTGACCATCTCTCCAGCCCTAGGTGTGTGACTTTAGAAGTATTAAGTTCCCTGGGTTTTACTTCATTACACAATGAAAATTCTCTCTTCATAAACATTAGAAGATTTAGAAATAGTATATACCTAATATAAATTATCTTTCATTTAATAGATGCCATATAAACTGGAGAGTCTATCTTTACATTCTTTTATGGAGAATTTCCATGTTTGATTTGTGTAAGGAGATTTATGAAGGAAGCCACTCTTGAGTTTCCAGAGTGTTCTCACATTAATGTTTCACTCGGTTCTAAGAAAAGGATTATTGCTTTTTGTCTGATTTTGCTTTTCATGTCTATCTGAAAAGCCTATGATTTGAGAGAAAGCAGAAAATTGTGCCTGAAATCAAAAACAAAGGGGGAAATGAGAAAAATATGCAGATGAAATCAAAGCACATTAAAATAATTCTTATTAAGAGTCAATATATGTGACTCTGTATAACCCATGATGCACAATTTAAAAAAGACCTGCAAGAATTAATAAAGTGTTTTATTTAACTCTGGTATTTACAAGAAAGATACTGATAGATAACAAAAATAGAAGACAAAAATAACTTTAATAAGATAATTTTAAACAAAAAAATTTAAGTGGATGTTTATGAATGACAGTTATTTTAACCATTGATCTATTTCTGTTTCATATCATGTTTATAGGTGCTTGTCAAGTTGTTGAAAAATAGACACAAATATGAATGACGTGTGCCCATTAGGATGACTCTAAAAAGATGAATTCAATATTGAGAGAGACATTCATATATTGTCAATCAGAATGTAAAGTGATATATTCATGTTATAATTTTTAAGTATATTTTATTTATTCTTTTATAATCTTAATCCTATCCACTTCAAACTTCCCCCTCTAGCTCCTCCAGACATGTCCCTAAAACATATCCCCTCCTCACCTCCACATTCCCCTCACTCCTCACTGAGTGCAATAAGTACTGTATGCTGGAATGTTGGCTGACCTTGTGGCCTTGATCTTATACAGGACTTGCGTAGGTGTCCTTAACTGCAGTGAATTTGTGAGGGCATCGGCCATGTCATTTCTAGAAGACAGCATTTCACATCACTCTTCCTCAACCTCTGATCTTATATTCTACCTTAGTTAATTTTCTATTGCTGTGATAAGATACAATGACCAAGGCAACTTATAGAAGAAAGCATGTGTTTGGGCCTTATAGCTTCAGAAAGTTGTAGCAGAGCATCAGGCAGGCAGGCAGGCATAGAACAATAGCTGAGAGCTCACATCATGAGACAGGGAGTGAAACCAGAAATAGCTCAAGTCTTTTTAACCTTATGGCCCACCCCCAGTGATACAGCTCCTCCAACAAGGCTATACCTCCTAATCCTTCCCAAACAGTTTCATCAACTAGGGTTAAGTATTCAAATATCCAAACCTATGGGGGCCATTCCCATTCAAACCACCACATTCCATATATATATTTAAAAAAGAGTTATTAAAGTGGGGTTACAGGCTGTAGTCTGAATAATTCAACAATGGATGTCTCCTGGCAGAAGGGCCAATGACCTGGTAGTTGTTCGGTCCATAAGACTGGATACCTTAGCAGTTCCCATCTGGTACTGGTGTCCAAAGGAAGTTCTAGAGAACTGCTAGTCTTCAGTCTAAATTGGAATCCCAAAGAATCAAGTTCTAATATAGCAAAAGCATGACTCAGAGACAGGATAGATGAATTTCCCAGGAAAAAAAAAAAAATGAGGCCAAGCAGACAAAAAGCAAGTTTCCTTTGAAGTTGGTAGTTTTTGCTCTTTTGGAGGGCCCAACACCAAGCTCCCAAATAAATACATATATGGAGGCTTATTCTTAATTATAAATGCCCAGCCTTAGCTTGACTTGTTTCTAGCCAACTTTACTTAAATTATCCCATCTGGCTTTAGCCCTGGGGCTTTTATCTTTCTCTATTCCTGTATGTCTTTTCTTTCCTTCTTACTCTGTGTCTGGCTGTTGAGCTGGGTATGGATGGTGGCTGGCCCCTAGTGTCCTCCTCCTTCCTCTCTCATTCCTTCTTCTTTCCTCCCAGATTTCTCCTTCTATATATTCTCTACCTGTCAGTCCCAACTATCCTTTCTCCTGCCTTGCTATTGGTTGCTCGGTTCTTTATTAGAACAGCAGGTGTTTTAGACAGGCACAGTATCACAGCTTCACAGAGTTAAACAAATGCAACATCTACAAAAGTAACACGCCTTAAAATAATATTTTCCAACATTCCTTCATCAATGTCCTTTTATGTAGGCTGCCACCAGAAGGTATGGCCCAGATTTAGAGTGGGTCATCTTACCTCAAAGGATCCAGTCAAGAAAATTCATCATAAGCATGCCCAGCTGCTTGGGTTTTAGTTAATAACATATGTAGTCAAGTTGAAAACCAAGATCAGCCATCACACATTCTTTCTTACTCTTTTTTGCAATGTTCCTTGAGTATGATGCCAGGGATTGTTATCAATGTCCCATTTAGAACTGAAAACTCACAGGCACTTTTGTCTCAACACTTTGGCCAATTATGAATCATTGTATTAAGAGTTTCCCACTGCACAAAAAAGATTTTCTGACCAAAGTTGAGAGTGTCACTAATCTATGAATGCAAACATAAATGTTTAGAATGCAGTTTGACAGCATGTCAGTTTAACAAAACAAAAGTAACAGACTCACTCCCTAGGACCTAAGATACCCTGAGCCATGCATGGGCTTTTAACTAGATTGAGAGTACTAGACATGGGTTTCATCTTGTGGTGCAGTCCTCAAATCCAATTAGAATACAGTTGGCTCCTCTATAACCTTCACGTCACTGTTGTAGCAGTGGGTACATTATGCCCGACAAGTCAGTACTGCAGTGTGCAGTGTTCACAGCCAGGTAATAGCACTGCTGACTTTTCTCCCTCACAGCCATCAGAGAGGGGGTTTTCAGCTCAGATCCAGTTTAATTTGTCTATGTCTTGCAGCCATAGCATATTGTGTCCTCAACAATTGGGTCTTACTATTTAGTTTTAGTGGGCAACCAAGGCCAATAGCAAGAAGCTATATTTGTGGGGGGGATCCTCTGGAGCCTCCCTAACCAATAAGGAAGTGTCCTGGCACTGAGATTTTTATTTTATGACCTATGTCTTTCAGAGAAAGCAATATCCACCCATGAAGGGTGCTTACCTGTAGAATGAATGAAGATGAAGGTATAGTATGAGGACTCCAAGATATAGTATCTAGATGACATAAGAGAAACATATGAAAAAAATGAAGACAGAGGAAAGGAATATGCACAAAATATAAGACATTGTGAAAAGACCCATTTTTTAATTATAGGTATTTTTTAAGAGAATAATCCCAGAACAATGGCATAATCCACATCTTCAACAAGATCACACACACAAAAACTTCCCCAAACTAATAAAAGACATACCTATACAAATATAAGAAGTCTACAGATCACTGAATTGACAAGACCACAAGGGAAACTCCCCATGAAATAGCATTGTTAAAACACTAAGTGTGCAGAGGAATCCTGCTGAAGAGAGGGAGGAAGAGCTGTAAGAGCCAGAAGGGTAAAGAACATCCCCCACAAAACCCACAGAACCAACTAAGCTAGGTTCATGAAATATCACAGAGACTGAACCAACAACCAGGGAGCCTGTGTGGGACTGACCAAGGCCCTCTGCATATATGTGGCAGTTGTGTAGCTTGGTCTTCATGTGGGACTCCTAACAGTGGAGCAGGGGCTGTCTCTGAGTCTTCTGCTTTTTTGGATCCTATTGCTCATGCTGGGTTGACCCACCTTAATACAAGGCAAGGTGCTTAGACTTATTACAACTTGATATGCTATGTTTTGTTGAAATTCATGTGAGATCTGCCTGTTTCTGAATAGAGATTGAGGAAGAGTTGGGTGAGGGGCATGGAGGTGGATGGAAGGTGTTGAAGGGAAGGAGGGGCTGGGAGGGGAGTCGGGGCGGGGGGGGGGGGACTGTGCTTGGTATGTAAAATAAGTAAATAAATTAATAATAAGTAAATTTTTTTAAAAAAAAGAGAGAATATTAGAAGCAGCAAGAGAAAAAAAAACATGAGTCACATATACAGAAAAACCTGTCCAAATAGCAGCTGATTTCTCAATGGAAACTATAAAAAAAGAAGAAGACCCCAGAGTGATGTATTCCAAGTCCTAAACGACCATGAAGGCCAACCTACACTAATGTATACAATAAAACAATCTACCATAGTTGAAGGAGAAAGAAGAACATTCAAAGATATAAAAAGCCTAAAAAGAGTTTGTGTCCAACAGACAAACACCTATAAATAAACAAGTAGGTAAACAAATAAATAAGGAAGTAATATTCCAAAAATGAAGAGAAGATTATTTCTAATAGCCAAGAACCTGTGGAAAGGAAACCAAGGAAGCGATAATTACTGAAATACAAATTAAAACTGAGAACATAAACAATAACACCAAAAATCAACAACACAATGACTGCAATGGGCACTTACCTTTCGATAGTAACTTTAAATATTAATGGCCCCAATGAGCTGGCTGAATGGACCACAAAACAAAAGTCTTCTATCTGTTGTCTAAAGAAAAGACAGCTTCAGAGATAGGTACCACCTCAGAGTGCACAGATGGACAAAGGGCTCCAATCAGATAAGACCAGGAAGTAAGCAGGTGTTACTTTCCTGATACCTGAAAATGGATTTCAAAATTAAATCTAACTGGAAGAAGTAAAGAAGGATGCTTCATTCTAATCAAGGGAACAATCACCCAAAAAGATGGTACTATTCTAAATGTTTTGGTTCACTCAATATCATAAAAAGTGAACTACTGGGCTGAAAACACAGATTAATATCACCCAACAAATAGAAGGTGATTCCAGTACCCCATTTCCTCTAATAGCTGAGTTGTTTGGACAAAATCGTAGCAGATAAACATCAGAATTAGATGACATCATACATTAAAAGGACTTAAATGATAGCTACAGAATATCCCACCCAAACACCAAAGAATACACATGGAAATTTCTCTAAATTAGCCCACATCTTACAACAACAAAAAAAAAATCTTAACAAATTCAGAAAGATTGAATAACTTCATGTATCCTGTCTAGCCATAATTCAACAAAATTTCACATAAAGAACAAACAAATCTCTAGTAAGTATATAAATTTGTGGAGATTTAACAACCATTACTAATGATGGATGAGTCAAAGAATAAATAAAAAAATAAAAAATTCCTGGAACTAAATAAAAATGAAAACACAACAAAATCTCTGGGACACATTAAAAAGCAGTCCTATGAGGTAAATTTATAGAATTAAGGGCCTACATTTAAAAAAATCAGAAAGAATACAAATAAATCACTTAGTGATGTAATTTTAAAAATATGGGGAAACAAGAACAAACCAAACCCAAACCCAGATGGCAAAATATAATGAAAATCTAAGACAAAATTAATGAATAGAAATAAAGACAATACAAAGAATCAATTAATCTAAAAGTTGTATCTTTAAGAAGATGAACAAGACTGACAGATCCTTGGCCCAACTAACCAAATAAAAGAGAGGACCCAAAATAACAATAAAAAATAAACAGAGTAATATTACTACAGACAACAAAGACATTCAGAATATTATAAGGGAATACTTTTAAAAACCTGTACTCCATTACATTGGAAAGCCTTAAAAAATGGACAAATTTCTAGATTTAGCCAAACCACCAAAAAGAAAGAAAGGAAAGGAGGA